AGCAGTACAGCAAATAGCCTTTATGAATTTAAAAATAAACTTTTGGACATGGACTGGAGCCAGGTCTATGAGGAAGTAGACACGAGCGAAGCATATAACGTGTTCTTGAACAAATTTAAGGAAATACACAAAACGTGATTTCTATATAAATCTATGAAATTTCGAAACGAAATCGTAAACCATGGATAACCCCAGAACTTTGGTTTAAAATAAATAGGAAAATGTTTTGTTCAAGATATTCGTAAACACAAAGGACCCTGAACATCTTAAAGCATTTAAATCATACCGTAACATACTTACAAGGGAATTAACAAATGCTAGAGCAAAGTACTTTAATAACAACTTTGTTTACACAGCAATGCGATCAGACGTCACGTGGAAAAACTTAACAATGTCCCGAATCGTTCACACGAAATAAAGCAAATTGAGAAAATCCGCCTGTATAATGTAGAACTTACAGGAACATTACTAGCAAATACTTTTAATGACCACTTTGTAAATTTGGCAAAAGATAATCCAGGTGAAAACGCTTGCGCGTATATTGGACTAAAAATGAAAGTACGTTCTTTCTTGAGCTAGTTTTGAATATGGAGGTGATACACACATTTTTGTCCTTTAAACATAGTGCAAGCTGTGACGCTGATGAGATTCTTATAGGTCCGATAAAACATGTAATAGATATCATATCACCCTGTCTGACACTCATTTTTAATCTCTGCTTGCAGCTCGGGGTGTTTCCAAAAATATGCAGATAGCTAATGTCAGCGTATTCTATAAAAAGTGTGACAAGAACGAAATGGGCAAACTACAGGCCTATTTCTATCTTACCGGTGTTTTCGAAAGGCTTTGAAAAAATATTGCTTTCACGCATGGTGAAGTTTTCAGATAAAATCAATCCTTGGCAGTTTGGTTTCCGTAAAGACCGGTCTATCGAGCTTACTCTTTTAGAGCAAAAATAATATATTTTGGGAAACTTGGAGCAGAAAAAAATGACCCTTGGAATATTTATTGATTTTAGTAAAGTGTTCGATCATCTAAATCATAATTTGTTAATAAAAAAACTAAAAAATATGGTTTTCGTGGACAGGCATCAACTTTAATTGCCTCATATCTTTTACATCGTAAGCAATACGCCCATATAAATGGCTATTCGTCTAATATAAAACCAATCGTATTTGGTTTTATAGGTCCTTTTTTGTTTAATTTATATGTCAATGATATCGTGAACTTAACTAAAAATATCAAACATGTAATTTACTCGGACGATACAAGTTTACAATTTGCGGGTAATAACTGTAATGAACTAATACATAGCGCAAATGAAACTCTTAAAGACCTTGTTAAGTGGTGTAGTTGTAATGTTCTAAAAATCAATGAAAATAAAACAAGAGCGGTTTTATTTCACCCAAAAAAAAAACAAGAATGTTACTTTTACCTGTGATATCGTTTTAAATTCGACTAAAATTGAAGTCCTCACTAGCTTTAAGAGTCTTGGTGTTGTATTCACGGATGAAATGCGATGGGACGATCATAGTAATTACATTTTGCTTAAACTATGGCATGTTGTTGGCTTGACGTATCGACACCGCCATCTTTTGCCAAGAAATGTCAAACTTTTAATTTATAACTCTTTATTTTTCTCTCATATAAACTACTGCCACCTAGTTTGAGGTAATAGCACAAGTACAAACAGAAATAAACTACTTCTGTTGCAGAAAAAAAATGCTAAGAAACATGTCCAATGTCCCATACGGCCACCCTAGTGAACCCTTATTTAAAAGATTAAAATTGATTAATGGTAATAGTATATATATAAATATCATTTGTGTGTGTCATAAATCTGAAGTACAAACATATTATCTTAATCTGATTGACCTGGCTTCTCTAGCTTCAAAAGTGCCGACTTACCCCACTCGAAGTTTGCAAAATTGGAAGTTACCCAATATTAGAACGACTTATGCTGAGCAAATGTTATCTTATGCGCTTCAAAACCTACTTAATTTTCTTAGCTTCAAAATATTGATCCTATTAAGTCATCGAGAAAAGATACTCGAGAATTTCTTTCCAGTGTGTTTTTTTAGTTGTACTTTCCAGAGCTTTGAAATGTATAATACTTCGTGATTTCTGTGCATATATCCTCTCAATGCATATATGGTACGTATCATGTATTACATGAATACATAGTTACATAGAACTCTCAATGTATGTGTCATGTTACTAAGAAAAACGTTAATATTGCCGCCTGATTACTTTTTGAATGTCATTGCGTCTTGTTTATTTTTGCTTGTGCCACTGCTGTTTGTGTGAGAAGGGGGCCGGCGACTCATCAAGCTGCATGATGCAGCGTTTCTCCTCGGCCCCCCTCATTCATTTGTTTGATAAAAAATAAACATTATTATTATTATTATTATTATTATTATTATTATTATTATTATTATTATTATTATTATTATTATTATATTATTAACTTGAGAGTTGCTAATAGGAGGCGATTAAATTTTAAGCTGCGTTCAATTTTACTTGGCCGTAGCACTCGCTTCATAGCAGACGACCCATTTTCTTTGTTATTGTCGTTCAATTTCGGCTTGTTATTGTTGGTGTTGTTGGTGTTTTGTCTGCAAATACAAATCGCGTTTTTTTGCTCGCGTTAGCAGACGAACCTTCTGCAAACGCTATATCAGCTGACACCGTGAGAGGCAAATTAGATCTCGCTTCAGCGATGACCAAAATTGGAACCCCGTCGTGTTACGATTCGAGTGATTTCTCGTACCCGGTGAGTCAATAAACGTGAGACAAGCTATAGTACTACAGACTAATTGGGCGCACATTGTCGCCAGTGTTTCTCGGGCCCTAACATAACGCGGTCGCAAACATCCTCCTCGAGCATATTAGTTTTGGCTTATAGCCCTCATACGATGAAGGCACTGGGCGGTCCACTCAACGGGGATGATGGCTACCCCGATGTGCTTGGGCAATACCAGCTACAAGACGAGGCCGTCTCATGACGTCATCGTTAATGAATCCCTCCCCCCTTTCCCCACCCACGAGTGGCAAACGCGCTGAAGCTCGACGGGAGACGGTGCAAAGCGTCAGACACGTCCGTGTGGGCGTCGCCGTCTGCTAGCGTCGCACTCCTTGTGTGACGCCGCTAGACGCGTTGTCGGTGACGCTGACGCAAGCTATAGGCGGTGCCGCTGGGGTCCACTACTCGTGACGTGTGGGGGAAAAAGTCGCAGGCTAGGGCCGGGTATGTCCTAACGGGATTAGAGCTCTACGCCTGGTGTCACAAGGTATACAGTCATCTCTCGGTATTATAAACAGCGCCGGCTTTGCTCGAACGTGACGTGAAACAAACTGTGCACGGCTTGCACGTGACGTTATCACCTTATGCTGGTGTTCATCATTCCCATTTGTTCTTGCCGACAACGTACCCAGCAAAATGCCATTTATAACACAAGGTCTGTGCTTTTTTTTTTTCATATACGTCATCACAAGTGGCTCCACGCGGCGTCGCTTAGTTTGCGTCAGCGTCGCCGCCAACGCCAAGACGGACGCATATGCCGCTTGGCGGAGGCTCTCGTCCGAGTTTCAGCGTGTTTCCCGCTTGGGAGAGGATCGGGAATCCACTAATGATGACGTCACGCGCCAGGCCTTGTCTTCTAGGTGTTATCGGCTCGGGAGCAAGGCCACCACAATTGCAGCTTATGTGACGTCAATGCCAGCCATGTGTAGAAGCGATTTTTTGTTTTTAACTCTGTTTTTGTCGGCGATGGCTTCGAACAAAACACGTTACTATTTTCAGAAAAAATTACGCTTTGCTCGCTGAAATGTGAGCAAACGAAATCCGAACTCCACTTTCGGTATTTTTTTTTATCTTTTTTTTTTCGTACTTTAACCTTTGTTTGATGTTTTCATTGTGGTTTTCAGACGCTTTTAGCTCTTTGTCCTCGATTAAGTGCCTTATTCCGCGAACTTCAAAACAGAGCCACTCGCTTTGTCCTCCACAACTATACACGCACAAGCATATCCGCACAAAAAAAGGAAAATTTTTATTTGTATTCTCGCAGGTCGCCGCAGAGTGTCTCGCTTGTACGCTCCAGGTCAGAGCCTTTTATATTGAGAGATTTAGGCCAATGGTCGGGAAGCTTGTTGCCCGCTAGAACCCGCGGATTTCGCGATAATACAAAATGGCGTTACTTCTTTGTCTTGTTTGTTCCTGAGAAATCGCATAGGGTTCCCATGAGTCACAGCCACAAAATGGCGGACGAATGTAGTCATCTCCCGGTTGTCAGACTACGCTGCTGTGGTTGCCAGGCAGACAAAATCTTCTTAAGAAGGCCAAACTTTCTCAATATAAACGGCTGTGGTCCGCATCAGAGTCGTTTATACTGAGAGAGGTTGACCAATGGGCGGAGCTTGTTGCCCGCTAGAACCAGCTGCTTTCGCGATAACACAAAATGACGTTACTTTTTTTTCTTCATAATTCCAGAGATATCACGTAGAATTCATGTGAGTCATAGCCCCAAAATGGCGGACAACTCATGCAAACTCTGTGGGACTTAGGAAACGAACTCTATTACTTTTTTTCAATAAAACACACTTTAATGTTAGTGAAAAGAAGCGAGTGAACAAAAGAACACCCGCCAGCGTCCGCCATTCATGCGCGAGTGACTTGGCCAACCATGCGGCTTGACAAGCCCGATATCGAAACTGCTTTTTGCAACGAACTTCTGCTCACTACCCCTAAATTTAACGTCTTTAAATTTTCTCTATTACAGCTCTCAGTTTCCGAGCGGAATTCACTCCCGGATGATAACGTGACCTTACAGGACGCCACCAATTTTCGAAGCTCTCTCATTGCAATACTATATGAAATGAACCGAGAAGTGTTTTACCGCTCTTTTCTCATTTGTGGCAGTTAACCTGCAGTTTGATGGTTTGTCCCCCCGTACGCAGAGGCCCCTGCAAGCAGTGAAGAACAAAATTGTGTGTTTGCACAGATCCTGGTGACGTACTCGTCCACGTACGTGCTCGTGGCCCTGAGCATTGACCGTTACGATGCTATCACCAACCCCATGAACTTCTCGGGAAGCTGTGAGTAGACGCTTTCTGGCTGTGTTTGTGCTTACTAGCTCTAACTTTAACTAAATTAGCAGGAGCTACTGTTTAGCATTTTTGTTTTCTCCATTAGTAGAGCACCCCTGCTTCTCGGGCATCTAAAAGACCTTCGGAACGAACTCCTTTAGAAAATCGGCGAATCACGTCATGATCTCAATTCTGCTCGTGCCCATTGGCATGCGTTGGTTGCAACAAGGCGTGAAGTTGGGCTAGTTGGTTCATAACTCAAAAAAGACGAGGGACAAGAACAAGAAGCGCTGTTCCCAAGTTTGCATTATGAACCAACTAGCCCAACACAGCGTTGTGTTCGTTCACTTCTCGTTCTTGTATCTTGTCTTTTTTGCGCTGTTTCCAAGTTTGCATACGTTGGTTCGTCGATTCTGTGTAGGAATTTGTACCGAATGCCTTCTACAGAGCCCTTTAAAGGGAAGCTACGGAGCTTCTTGGAAAAAATGAGTTAGAAGTGAATTCTAGTGTATTTTTACCCCGTGAACCCGAATACCCAAACCATTTGCTGCGTAAGTATTCTTAAACGCGAGAAAAACGCGAAAGACAGTCGCTGTCCGTGACGTCATCGACGGCTCTTTTGGCTGCCCAAGGCTAGGGGGGCGGGGCTTCAGTCCTATTTTGAAATTGCTCGTATGGCTCTCCGGCGCGTCGCCTTGAAATACAATTTTGATATCTGTTAATCTAAAGGCCAAATGAACGCAATTCAAGTGTTTTTTTCTCAAATGTAGAAGTGCCCCATCTTCCCTTTAATGAGGGGCACTAGAGCATTTGTTGGGGGTATCTTAGGATTTATGGTGACGTGAATGATTAACAGGCACGCTACTCGGATAGATGTTGCACACCGCCAAATCCGGCGTGAGTGAATGAATTTCGTAATTTACTCGCGTAACTCAAGAGTATCAAGAGTATATCCATGAGGGTTCCCCTACCTCTACACTGCCTTGGGTGATGTCAAACCGTGACGAAGTGCCCGTTCTGCGTTGCTGACAAGCAGTGTCCGCGTGAGGTTGCCAGTGTGCCGCACCCTTTGCGTAAACTCTACATCCACGCTTTTTCGCATTCTTTGCATAGACGAATACAAAACGTTTACCTCTCAAGTTGAAAGCCTCAATAAACACTATCTACCATCCTTGTCGTACGGCCTTTCAAATCAAACATAAAAACAAAAACAAAACCAGGCAATTACATGTTCGTGCTGACGGTGTTGCTCTGTGTGCCTACGACGCCGTCTGAGACGCTGAGTTAATTCCTGTCGGTGACATTTCGTTCCCAATAAGGAACAAATACCAGACAGATACCGATATCCTCAAAGTCCTATTATAAAAATAATGCAGTAATTAAGGAGGGATCGTCTAAATTTATTTAAAAGGCATTAGACATTCGTTTCGACGGAGGGAAAACGAAACATTTATATTCTTCATTAAGTTCCCCACTAAGTTTTGCGGCGTGATTGAAGTCACCACACGTGACGCAATGATATCGCGTTACATCACGACTCGACACTGTGACGTCACATCACCTGGCCCAAAGTCACATGACGTCATCACGAGACCTAACGTCACATTACTTCAGGTTACGTGACGTTAATTTGCCCGCTAAACTTGGCGGGGAAATTGACGTCTCGGTGCTAGGTTATGGTGTCCAATGTGACCTGACGTCACGCCTGGTGGTCACGTGACGTGACAATATGGCGTCACGGCTTTGTGTCACGTGATACCCTGACGTCACGTGACTTCAATTTCTCCGCTAAATTTAGCGGGGGAGTGGACGGACAAAGGGACACATTTCTGAGATTGGGGTGTTTTGTTAAGATTAATTCCACATAAGAAGTCCGCGCCAATGCGGATCACTGGACAGGAGGTTTGCGTCAGCGCTCAGCGAGGATTCGGATCCAATTGTGCACTTCTTGTTCATGGATGGACGGATAGATGGACGTTAATGGCTATACCCTTTGTAACAGGCGGTAGCTTGCACCACCTAGCCTAGGTCTAAAAAGACCAACATTTATTCAGTGATGATTGCCAGTGTTGCTCGGTGGACTTTTGAAAATTGCCCATTGGGAAGTAACGTGGATGCCGATCGAAATCACAAAAGAAACGTCCCTTCCGGACTACGGCAGGGAAGCGTGCCCGGTGCCTGGTGGGCCTGGCGTGGGGCGCCTCGTCTGCCATGTCGGTGCCCGCGGTGTTCCTGAGCCGCGAAGCCCTGGTCCGGGGCCGGCTCCAGTGCTGGATCGAGCTGGAGCTGTGGCAGTGGCAGCTGTACATGACCCTGGTCGCCTGCTCGCTCTTCTTCGTGCCGGCCCTAGTCATCACCGCCTGCTACTCCGTCATCGTCTACACCATCTGGACCAAGAGCAAGATACTCTCCTACCCGAAGCTGCCGTCCGCCAAGACAGGTGGGCCGCACGCCCTTGTCGAATAGCGAGCTCTCAGATGGGGTCACGGACAGCTTGCAGGGTGTGGCAAGCTCCTCGCTCGGCAGCCAATAAAATTGCGGCATTTACAGACGAGAACACCGAAGAACCAATCGCGAAGAAAGACGCGTGAACATAGTTAAGCCACATGTTCTTTAATGAGCTTACGGTGACTTTGGCCACGCGTGCGACTAAAACCGTCGGGAACGTTGTTAGCAGAACAGTTTAACACAGCTTTTGTAAATTTAAATCCACCACCACAAAATGTCAATGCTTCAAACTTTATTGAACGCACATTACACGAGACACTTTTTCTAACGCCGACTGATGAACACGAAGTATATAACGCGATTGCGGGTCTCAGCAACAGTAGAAGCTGCGATACAGATGACTTACAAGTTAGGCCTGTGAAATTTGTTCTTAATAACATCGCACCTTGCTTGGTGCACATTTTGAACCTTGCCTTGTCATCAGGAACATTTCCCCGTAAAATGAAATTAGCTAAAGTATCTGTTATATTTAAAGGAGGAGACAGAAATCTCCTAACGAACTACAGACCTATCTCTATACTTCCAGTATTTTCCAAAGGACTTGAAACGATTATTTTAAAACGCCTAAACTTTTTCTTTAATAAGCATTCTGTGTTAACGGATTGTCAATTTGGTTTCCGTAAAGGAAAGTCTACAGAATCTGCATTACTTCAACAAAAGGAAATTATTTTGAAAAATATAGAAAAGCGATTATTTACCCTAGGCATATCCATAGATTTTAGTAAGGCATTCGATTTCATCAACCATAAAATTATATTAGATAAGCTATACTGCTACGGTGTCCGTGGCGTAACCCTATCTCTTTTTTACTCTTATCTTGAGCAACGTGCCCAATGTGTTGTGATCGACGGTCATACATCACCTTTTCTTAAAGTGCGATGTGGTGTCCCCCAGGGCAGTATTCTTGGGCCTATGTTATGTAACATATATATTAATGACATCGTCAACACCAATAAACAAATAAAATATATAATATATGCTGACGACACGAGCCTATTTCTTGCTGAAACGAATGTTGAAAAATTAATAGCCGACGTAAACAATGTCCTTAGCCGGTTTTTTATCTGGTCCAACAGCAATGGCCTTAAGATCAACATCCAGAAAACAAAGGCTATTTTTTTTTTCGACCGAAGAACAAAGCTGTAGCCATTAACAACAACATTACAATTGGTTCTGCACCAATTGAGTTAGTAAAAAGTCATAAAACGCTCGGAATAATTTTTTTCTGAGCATCTTTTGTGGAATGACCATGTCGATTATCTCGTCAAGAATCTGTCCAAAGTGGTTGGAATCATGTCACACTGTCGCTCTGTTTTTCCAGTTAATGTTAAACTACAAATTTACTATTCACAATTTCAGTCCTACATCAATTACTGTCATCTTATTTGGGGGAAGACTACTCAAATAAATATTAAAAAGCTTACGTTACTTCAAAAGAAAATGCTCCGTTACATTGCCAATGAACACTACATGGCTCATACAAAGCCCCTTTTTGCCCAATATAAAGTAATTACCATTGAAAAGATGTACGACTATAGACTGCTGCATAGTTTCCGCTTTTGAACTCCTGACCATATTTTGTTTTTATGTGAAATGGCGAACCTCTCCGAACATCCTCATCGCATCAACACGCGCCTCTCGGAAAGATGGATCATACCTCGAGCTCGTACTAATTATACTTATCAGTCAATCGCTTATCGTCTACCTTCATCACTTAGCCATTTACTTACCAACAATATTGATATATATAACATGGGAAGGAAATTATTATTGATGTACTTCTTATAGTCCTGTCGGACATTGTGTTTAAATAAATGTGAAATGATTTTATGGTGTTTTATATCTATTCTTGTTAAAAAGTTTTTTCTGTGTAATGTGAAAAATGGCTGCGTACGCTTTTTTTTTTGTTGTTGATATATCGCTTCTTGCTAACCGCATGTCTCTTTTAAAAAGTGTTATATTTTGTAGATATTATGAACAGAAGCTGTGCGTATATTTTTCTGGTTTGTGGGCTTGTATGCGACCTTAGTATTTTTGGTAAATATTGGTATTTTGATTTTGGTATTTTGTATAAAAATATTTCAGTGTGTTTTATTTTTTTTTTTTGAAAGTTAGTCCTGCTGCCAATCTCCAAACGGTCCCCAGACCCGGTCAAGCTGCCTTTGGCAGCTTTTTGTATGGGGCACCGTTGGCTAAAAGGCAAAAAATAAAGATTGATTGATTGATTGATTGATATGGTCTAGCTTCGGATATTTGAATGTTTTATTTTTTCCCCCTTCATCTCCTACACTATTTGAACGACTGCCTATACATGGCAGCTCGGGAAATACAATCTCGCGAGTAAATAAGTGGAGCTGGAAATGAACGACAAATCATTTTACAAAATGCAATATGTTATTTCGTTCTTTTGTTTCTCTCGTATACACTTTATTTTTATTTATTTTTTGGCGGGGGGGGGGGGCGATTGACATTTTTATTTTGTTCAATAAGCTGCATATCCTCACTGCTCTAAAACAAAGGAAGATAAGCGATACAAATATCTCAGTGTGTAATACACCCGCAAATTTACAACGAATGAAGACTTAGGTGGCAAAAATTAGCCCCATCGTGCCTCACGGACAAAAGGGACGACCGTTACTGATATATTGTCCACTCGGATGGCTGACGGCGACGTGAACGCAGGGTCCAACAACCACAAGACGGGCGAACCTGACTCGGACACCAAGAGGACTAGTTCTCGCGGTGTCATCCCCAAAGCCAAGATTAAGACCATCAAAATGACGCTCATCATCGTCTTCGGTGGGTCCATTTCCTACCCACTTTGTCTGCCTTTGTGCCACGGGCTTGGTTTTTTACTACACCCAAATATCTTCTTCGTCTTTTTTACTTTATTAGTGCATTAATTACATCATTCGTTTTTCAATAATTCGAGGATCAAATGAATAATTATTAATTTACCCTGCAGCGCCCAGAGGGGATTATTGCAAGAAAGTGATAAATCTGAAAACGTACACAAAGCAGCAAACAAATATACGCAGTAATAATAAGAAATATACACATAAATTTACATACAAAAAACATTTCGTGACACATTCGTGCAAGAAATACACACTTATACAGTCCTTAATAAACATGACTATTGCAAAGTATTCTACCAAAGTGCGAGATGTATCGAGCCAACGATACATCCCAAACATGACGGGCGATACGTGACGGACAGTGGCCACGTGACGTGCCAGCGTGAATCCGTTCCTCACCGGCGAGTCCCCGCCCGTTTTGCGCAGTGTTCATCCTGTGCTGGAGCCCGTACTTCGTGTACGACCTGCTCCAGGTGTACGGCTACACGTCGCAGACGCAGACGGCCATTGCTGTGTCCACCTTCGTACAGAGCCTGGCGCCGCTCAACAGCGTCGCCAACCCGGTCATCTACTGCCTCTTCTCCACAAACCTCTGCAGGAATCTCAGGCAAGCTGTCCGCGCCGGCCCGCGCTACTGTTCCAAGAAGAGCTTCGTCGTCTCGCATGGCCCGTTCGCACGCTTGCAACCGAGTACGACCGAGAGAGATGAGACCAGTTGAAACCTCTTAAAGGGCAACTCCGCTTAATTTCAAAAATTTTGAGATAGTGGCCGATTTTGCTTTTTGAAGCACTCAAAAACAATCCCCAATCTTTTGTTTCGCGAAAAATAAAATATTTTTCGTGTAATTTTACTCTAGCCATGATCACAAACTGAAACCGAAACGGTGGCAAAGCCGGACAACATTGTATATTCGGCATCACTAAGCATGTACACCCACGTGATATACAAGGGGAAGAAGGAGCTCCCCTCTTATCAGGATCCTCCTTTGCGCCTCCTGGATTAGCACAGGCGTCGCTATTCTCCTCCCAGAAGATTATAGAAGATTAACCTGTCACTCAAAATTCTTACAAAAGCAGCTTCCCTCTCCTCCTTTTAATTGGTGTTCAAAAGTATGCCATGTAACACAAGCCGCGCTCAACGAGGCGATCGGCTTATCAGTACACTCACGTCTTTCACGGCGCTGGCGCCACCCGTGCTCTCCCCGGGATAAAAAACAAAATTGAAAAAAAAAAAAAAGAAGAAGAAGCTGTACATGCTTGATGACGTCGCGGACGTGCCGGGAGAAGAAATTTGGAGGAAGCGGAAATGCAGCCGGGCAGTGTTGTCTGGCCCGCACGTCTCATCCGAAACCAGCGGATTCGTGCTTGTCAAACTTTGACAGCGATTTTAATGAACTTCTAGGCGGAATTCCGTCGTAATATTTGCCATGGGGGTTTTGTAGATGATAACAAAGAGAACTGTATAGTTTTGCACTACTGGAAAAGAAGCGGAGTTGCCCTTTAAAATTGCTTAGGACGAGAGAACACACTGGCACACTAGCGCCATCTATGCGGTAACCCTGGAACTGCATTTCACAAGAGGGAAGGTTTTGCGGGATTTTCGATGTCAAATGTGCGTGATACCTATGAAAAAGGCCCGTTTATAACGTTCACAAAAGTTTTTAGAGCCAAGGAAGAACGGTTAGTGCGCGAGAGAAATAGAAAGTGTGCCGGACCGCCAAGTTTACACTGCTACCCAACAGATGGCACTAGTGTGCCCAGTTGTTATAAGGGTTATTAAGATGTTCCAGGCACCGTGTTCTAAGAGGCCGCAAGTGTGGGAACGGGGCTTTAATATATCTTACAAGACGACACACTGGCTCCATCTATTGGGTAGCAATGTAAACTTGGCGGTCCGGCATATTTTCTATTTCTCTCGCGCGTTATCCTTTCTTTCTTGGCTCGAAAAACTTTTGTCAACGCTATAAGCGAGCCTTTCTCATAGGTATTACGCACATTTGACCTCGGAAATCCCGCAAAACCTTCGCTCTTTGTGAAATGCAGTTCCAAGGTCACCGCATAGATGGCGCCAGCGTGCCGTGTGCTCTCTCGTCCCAAGAAATTTTAAGAGATTTCAACTTTCAACAGGTGTCGTCTCTATCGGGCGTACTCGGCTACAAGAGTGTGAACTGGCATTAAGAGGTTCAAAGGCACCCGGTTCTCAGAGGCCGCAAGTGTGCCGTTCACACTCTTGCGACCGAGAGAGACCAGACCGGTTTTTAAACCTTTTGCGACTTCTTGGGACCGGATGCGCTGCAGCGGAGCTGGTCCTAAGAGATCGCAAGAAGCTTAAAAACCGGTTTGGTCTCTCTCGGTCTTACTCGGTCGCAAGAGTGTGAACGGGCCTTTAAGCGCCGTTGACACACTTGCAACAGAGTAGGACGGACAGAGACAAGGCAGGTTTTAAGCCTCTTGCGACTTCTTAGGACCAGCTCCGCAGCAGCGCATCCGTTCCTAAGATGTCACAAGAGCCTTAAAAATTAGTCTGGTCTCTCTCGGTCGTACTCGGTTGCAAGTGTCTGAACGGCCCGTTACGTGATGTGTGCGAGCGAGTCGGACGAGTCCCGTTCCACGCGGGCGCCTTGGAACCCGCAGAAACATTACGGACCTTTTGAAAATTGTTCGCAAGAGCTTTCCTTAGCTGGGGGGCTCGTTCATTCGCGTTGAGCACGGATCGAGAAGGCCTGATTATAACGTCATCTTCAGCGGGTCCCCGACGATCACTGAGCGGCAAACAGACTTGGCGAGAGTCGCCGCAAAGACGCGTGCGTCCTGGCGTCCCCGCGTGCTAGCGTGACACGTTGTCGTGCGATTGACGTGCCCCTTCTTTCCTTCCCGATGTGTCAAAGACGTGTGTTTTGGAGCACTTGCTGGCCGTATAGCTGTGAGCGGCGCGATCTCCCCTTTCCAGGTCCGTGGGGCTCTGCAACTGCCTGGCCGAGCGCCTGTGCGGCTGGTGGCCGTCGACACCCCGGCGCTCGTGGCGCGAGCAGACTGTGAGCCGACCCTCGGAGTGCAGCACGATGACCGAGTCCCTGCAGCAGCAGCAGCGCTCCTCGACACGGCTCCAGCTCCGGCAGCACCGCCGCGGCACGCTGCTCCGGAGCACGGACTCGACCGACGCGCACGTCCGGAACTCGCACGTCTGACCCCCGGGACGGCCGGACGTCGGGTGGGTGGGGAGCACCTGACTTTACCCCCCTCCGTTTCACCCTAAACCAGTTGTCACACCGCTGATACACCCTGCGAGAGACAGCCAGCAGACACTGTCTGACGCGTCCTTCGTCCTTGCCCCATTGGTCATACAAATACTTGGAGGACGCTTAAGCTTCGCCTTTAAGGGTGGAACACGATAACGTTATCACTTTCTCGTTCGCCGTTCAAGCGTGCAAGCGTGCCTTGCGTGGCTTAGTCAGTAGCGTGTCTGACTCGCAACCGAAGGGTCGTGGATTCGAATCCCGCCTAAAACGCTTCAATTTTTTTTTTAAGGCAAATGAATTACGTCAAGAAGTGAGATCATTTGAGACATGCGGTGACCTTTCATGCGCATTACATGTCACGTTTTAATCCCTTTCGTTTCCACGCGTGACGTCACGTTTCACGTGAGCGTCATGGGTTGTTTTAAAATTCCCGCGCGATGTCATCTTGTGTGACGTCATGACCCTATCGACCAATCAGGATTTTCCCGTCACAATGCCACCGACGGCGACGCCGACCTTTCTGCGACACAAAACATTCACGTTTTAAAAAATGTCCTCAGACATGTTCTAAGCGCACTTACGTATGAAGCAGACAAAGCAGCATGAGGGGTGTCTGCAGATAAATCTTCCATCATGTCCGCGGAGAAACTCCGTGTCTCTTGTATGATGTGTGACCAGTGAGACTCCGGCTTAAGTATAAGACCACAGCCGACGGCATATGATCCGATGGATTCAAGCAGGCAGCGCCAAACGTGTGTCGTCAATGCGTTCGTCGTCTTTCTTACGTCTGCTATCCCTGCCTAAACCAATCGTGCACATCGAATGTCCCACTATTGTGCGCTTTATTTCTGTGCGCGAGTGGTTAGTCGGTCGTAGCGTACGCAGCTGCTGCCGGACTTCATGTGAAACTTTTTTCCTGCAATCTAAGAAACCTGAAGCGTCTACTTTCCCGCAAAGCATTCGAAACAGCCAATCGCTGCGCTCCACGGAGGAAGCTCGGTCAGTGACAAGGCTGATATCTGTAGACCTAAAAAAAAAAAAAAAAAAGTATTCGATGCGACCTGAGCATGGCGTTTCAACGTGCTGTATAGTCAGGGCGCAAACTTTTTTTTTTTTTATGCGTTACCATTAGAACGTTTGTTTTGACGAAAACTCGGCGGTGTCTTTCGTTTGTCAGCGCCGGGGAAAGAGGGAGAAGGAAGGGGAGAGGGTGACGCGTGCGACGTTCCCATTGGTCCGAAGCGCTGACGTGAGCACGTGTCAACCTCTCCCTCTCTCCCTGGCGCTGACAAACTGACAGACAACGCCGGGTTCCCTCGAAACGTGCGCTTTCGTTCTCGTCGAAGTCGCGCTCACAGCAAGTGCGAGGCCAAAGAGGACGCGCTGCGTCGCGGTTGAATGCGGCCGTGCTCAGTTGCCTCCTCTGCCGTCACCGGTTATTCTTCGCTCTGGGTTTCCGTAGTGGCGGTGCGTGGGTATGATGGGTGTGTGTAATTAAAACGATGGATGCGGTCCCCCCCACTAGTGATGCAGGTGCGGTTCCTTCCATGAGTCGTATGGATGAGGTTTTTTCCACGGATGACTGTATCCAAGGGGGTCGATGTACTTTTACGGGCAAAACAGAAAATGTATGAAAAAAATTAAAGGAAGATCCATCGGCGGATTCTTGAAGAATTCTTTAGCATGACCCTTGGGAAACGCTAACACTGACCCCGTAACGAATCTAAAAAGAAGCAGCAAAATATAGAGGAATCAAAAGAGAAAGCCAAAACAGAAAAGTGGAGGCGTCAGTGTTAGCGTTTCCCAAAGGGAGACGTATGTGGCGTTTCTCAAAAGTCATGCTAACGCATTCTCTAAGAATCCACCAATGGGTCCTTCTGTGTTTTGTTTTTTTTAATTTGTGTTTATATTACAAGCCTCGTCATTCGCTGTGCTTCCTCCGTGCAGCACAGCGATTGGCTCTACCACCTGCTTTGCAGGAAAGTAAACGCTCCAGACTTTTTTAGAGTGTGCGTCAGCGTTGAGCTGGCACACGGCTCCCAGTTGAACGTTGAAGTAGCACTAGAATCCAGCCTGCGCCCTCAGAATAGATAATTCTAATCGTTATCTAATCCGGGGTGCCTATTTGACCCGCCACTCAGGTCTCCCGAAGGACACAACGGAACGCTCACGTGACGACGGACGCCCTCCGCGATTGGACAGAGTGCCGCGTGACTCGTCGGAGCAGAAAGCAGCGTCGTCGACGGAAGCGACACGGAGCGGTGGGTGACCGAACGTCCGTCGCTCGGCGGCGGCACTCGACGGATGGATGGATGGATGTTAACGGCTGTACCCTTGATAACGGGCGGAAGCTCGCGCCACCTAGCCCAGTAACAGACTGCTCGGACTTCCCATCGTTGGCACCCCGAGCAAACTTCTCACCCTCGACCCGTCCAGCCAGCCCGTCCCCAACGGTGTGCCCTCCTTCAGAAGGCCTCCTAGACATCGAGGCCTTCTACGTCACCTGCCGAAGGCCCGAAGGGAGCGAAACAGAGACTGTAAACGTGCACTGCCTCAGTGTTCGGTTTGGGGTCGTGTTTGGTAAAGCCGCAGTCCCACTGCTTACACGTCATACAAAGGAGGCTGACTTTCTCTGCAGACGCGATGAAAGAAATATATCAAGCAGGTTCGAATTAAGCGGGTTTACTTTATATGCGAATTAAGCGAATTCGCTTTGTACATGCTTGCAACATGTACGCAGAGAGTTTTTGTAGGGCCACTATGACAGGGCCGTCAAACAAAAACAAAAGAAGAAAAACACGCCTCAAACAGTGTTTGCCGAAAGTGTCTACAGTGTTGTCTACGGTAAGCGAAAACACGACTCTCAGCCGAATGCTGATGCCCCACTCGTGTCCAATTCGTCGCCCGCGTTGGCCTCTTGTGGGTGACGTCAGAACTCCAGCTGTATGGCCTTGTTCAAGAGGAGCTGCTGAGAAGGCGCCCCTCGTCCCTCTCCTGCTGACCGCCTCGAGGCTCCTGGAATGCGAGATCCCTCTGCTGTGTTCTCCGTTACTTCGTGAATGTCACGTGTGGGATATTCGTTAACTAAAAATTGTATTTTCATGTGTCCCGGTTTGTGTCCCGGTATTTTTGTGTGTCCCGGTCGAAGGCAACGGCCACACCGGCCGTTGCCTTCAACTATCTATTTGGGGAGGATGAGTGAATAGATGGGTGGACGGATGGTTGGGTGGATACCGTTGTTACGTGCCTACGGCTGAATAGTCTTAATCTGGCGGCGGCTCGCGCCACCTGGAGGAGATCCGACCTTTACGTCGCATGCGGCCATGGTGAGAACTAAACCTACAGGAACAGCTAGAGCCACCAAACAAGAACGTGTCGGCACTCCATCCCGCAACAATATTGTAGGCGCCGCCGTTTTGTGTCTAGTGGTTGGCGGGCGCCAATGTCGATAGATTATTTTCAAAACTGCAACTCGCTTAACATTAGAGTCGGTATCGAGAAGCTCGGTCGGCCTGATTTATCTCCGTAATAATTTAGGGGTTCCAGGTTGCGAATGGAATACATTCGGGGATGGGATTCTCGTAATGAATGACGAATAGGCCGTTTGACACATGCACGACCGAACATTGAGTCGAGACAATAATAAGCACAATAAAACAACAGGCACTGGATAAGTAACACACCGTAAACGTTCGAACATGTGCGAAGTCTGCGCAGACGCACTGAATCGCGAAAGGAATTACAATAATAAGAAGGAACGCTATAGCTTACGAAGGCACCGGTACTAGTCTTCCTGCGCGCTGGATGTCTTGGGTGCTTGAGCGTTGGAGTTGCTGACGCGCTGCGGGGCGCGGTTCAAGCCGGTTGCGAGTGCAGTACGGTGTAGACGCCGACCGTTCGGGGTGTCGTGTTGAGGGGAAGGCCGTGCCTTGACAGGTGCCCCGGGAACAGGGGGGAGAATCAAAATTAGGATAATTTATATCATGATTTGAATTGTGATTTGAATCAGACCAGTTTTACTACGATGATTGAAATGAAACCTTTCTTGCAAAAAAATCGCCAAGTTTTTTTTTTTGTGTTTCTTCTTCCAAAGTGTATGTTATTTCGATTCTTTCTACATGCATTTGTTTCGTACCGAATTCAAAGAATCATCAAGCAGGAGAGATTGATATCAAAATGGTGCACAAGAAAACAGCCCTCTGAGCGAGTGCTCCTCTGAGCTCCTCTGAGTGCTCCTCTGAGCAAATCGGAGCAATGAGATTTATTTTTTATTTCTACCTTCCAAATCTTTCGTCAGTTAGGTAACAACCTATTGCAAGCAAATCAGAACGTGGAAAAAGTAAATGAAGCTTTCTAGCTACTTGGAAATTTTTTTTTCTTACTTTATTATGGCGGTAATAATAAAAAGTTGTTAATGAAAGATTCTATTTACAGTAATTTTTTACCACTTTATTTGTTATCAGTGATTGGACGGACTGATGAGTCGATTTTCAATGTGTAGCAATACACGTAGTGATAAAGAGTCACTATCCTCTAGCTACAATTATTTAAATAAAATTATTCTGATTTTAAAATAAAAATAAATTGACTTATTTTTTATTATTTTATTACCTTACTTGGGGAACACACATACTCCGGCATAACGCGGAGGCTTGGGACTGATTAAGGCCGAAGGCCAGGGTCGGCTTGCTAGAAACAGCGTATTAGCTGAGACTGGGTGAAATGAAGCACTGCAGAGGCTGGGGCGAGCGAGCGTCTTGAGACGCAGCTTGAGTCCAGCCATAGCCTCCTATATACTGACCACGGTGATACTGACAAAGCCTGGCAGATCGTCAAGAGAAGCGGCCGCCGAGATGAAAAAGGGGGAGCCGCAGACAGCGGATGAAAGGAGAGCCACGTGACTGGCGCCCCGCTGCGGCGAGACGCGAAGACCGGAAACCGTGTTTCGGGTCCTCGCCGCTGCAAAAGCTGTGCACTGACGTCCAGCTTCCCCGAGAAATGGCTCTTTGATGCTCTGTGCTACCAGCTCCTCGCCCTCCAAATCTGCGACCGGGCACTCTATGGCTCCGTCGCCGAACTGCCAGGCTTTGTGAGTAAAAGGGAGGAGGCTATGGGCCCAGCTCAGTTCGTGCGCTGGCTTTGGCGGTGCTTTCTTTCCTCCAGTCTGACCTGAGACGCTGTTTCTAGCCAGCCAGCCCAGGTCAGGGGGAAGTCCGGAGAGCTCGGGTCTGTCATCCGAAGGCTTCCACTTCCGCACCCTGCGTGCGCCTCCAGCGTGGTCTCGCGTTCCAAACAACATCGAGCGGATTCTCTCTCTCTATCTCTCGTTGTCTTCGCCCTCGCACGCGCACAACAGAACGTGCGTGGCGCTTGTCCATTCCAAGCCGCACGACCACCGCGCGCATCACAATCTCTCTCGAAGACTGTTTTGATCGTTTTAACCACTGATTTCTATGAATGTTTGCTGGATCGCGTATTCCCAGCCCTGCCTATGCACAGGAATGTGGCCACGGTCGGCCATCTTTTCGGTAAAGTTATATTATCTCTAGCCATCGTAGTAATATGGCGGACAGCGCTGTGCCGGCAGACTACCATAAAAATAGCCGAGCGTCTAGTACACTGTACTGTGGATGATGTTTCGTGCTTGATTGAAGTCGCTGAAGCAGATTCTTTAAACTGGTCGCGACAGAAGGAGGTCGACTATGCCGCCATGTTGTGCGGCGTGCTGATCAAATCGCCGAGATCACGTAATGACAAGAACTCATCATCGGTAAGTATTCAGTGTTTTGTAAATATCCTCGCGCAGGGATACGTTTGGGGAAAAATATTTATTTGTTCCCAAGATTTCCACAAAGTCGCATCGCGATCCTTCAGATGTGGGTGGAGAACGTGTACTCTGTCTAACGGGCGGTTGATTGCGCCACCACACTGCTATGGTGTGGCTAGAGATATTATAACTCTACCAAAAATGTGGCCGACCGTGGCCGCATTCGGGGAATGGGAAAGCACGATCCAGCAAATAGTCATAGATATCAGCGGCTTTAACCAGAGCCGTGTATAAAGAGAGTTTGGTCAATGTGAGGCGCGGGCAGAACTAGGTTGTGCACCAGACGCAGAAAGCGGGCTTGACGTGCTCTCTTGACCAACCAGAAGCCGGAAAAAAAATCCCCTAATGGTGGAAGCGAGAAACAGTTTTAATCATATGTACATGGTTTTAATGAGCGCGTAAGAGTTGAACGTAGTAACCCTTCATGATTGAAAATAGTGCGCACGTGGTGTTTGGATTATGATCATGCAGGAAGATGTGAGAAACGAGTGCGCCGCTCAGCTCTGTTCTGCTCCGATAGAGTGTGACCGCCCGGACGGCACATTCGCGGCCTTTGGCGCCTGGCGTGCGGATTATGCCGATCGTTCCGCTAGTCGCATTCTTCCACCATGGTTTAGGATGACCGCGTGATCGAAACATCACGTGCACCCTATTTTCAGTCACCGAGAGTTACTTCGACGAGCTTGTTAATTTCGTTTCTCGCAACCACCGCCAGGGTAATATTTGCGGCTTCTGGTTGGCCACATTCAGGTTTGTGAAGGCGCCCTAAAACACGCCCAGTCCGCATTCGGTTAATGGCGCCTCCTTATTTGCCTCTTATACTTCCCGATGAACAGCCAAACTCTCTTTATATACGGCTCTGGTTTTAACCCTTATGGAGGACGCGAAAGCCGTTTTCGGGGATTTCAGACAAAACTTCGTGATTCAGCGCAGAGATTGCCGTGGCTAGGTTGCACGGCCGAGTCTCTGCCCGGCTGCACGAATGCCAGAACCCTGAAGTCCACACGTGGGGCACCACCACCTCAAAACCAAGGCCTACTTATGACGTCGTTGCTAGTGGATCCCAGACCCACCCCCTAGCGGAAAACACGCTGAAACTTGATGATTGTCACCGCAAGGCGGCATACCCGTCCGTCTTGGTGTTGTCGCGTGGCAGCATCTCGCTCCTTGATAAGAGCGGCGCTGGCGGCGATGCCGACGCCACCTATAGATGGCGCTGCGAGGATCCACTAGTGACGGCGTTTAGGCATGAAAGGCGCAGCCCTTGTACTCTAGGTGTTACTGACTGTGTTCCTGTCAAGAGCTGAAGTCCCGGTGTCTTTCTCGGACACTAACGGCTCTTCCAAGTGCGCTGGAGGAGCGCGTGAATTCCCGCCACGCGCGTGTCGCCGAGGCACTCTGAGAGCGAGGGAGGCCCAAGAGGCCTTCCAAGTTGGGGGAAGCTGAACGAGACCTAGTTTCCCTCGGCTGAAGACGGCGCATCCATTAGGCGCGCTCCTTGAGACTGGAAAGCCTGCGGGTGGATCGCATTACGCGCGACATCTTATACAGAGCTCGCGTACGACGCTCCATTACCCACATTAAACGCACCGACTGTTTCCGCTTTTGTTTTCGGTCGATACGCTGCCTTCGAAAGTGGCGTGTCTTATTACCCGGAAATATTGTTGCCCGCTCTAGAGTTAGAATTACAAAAGAAATACGCGTTAAATGCTGCCTAGACCAAAAAAAAAAAAAAGGAAGTACTTTTATGAAAAGAAACGATTTGGAACAATACAAAAACACCACAAAGAAATTTCCTTCCAACAAAATTATCGCAAAAAAGGTTTTAAAAACTCGAAATTTTGATATTTCCTACCAACCAATTCACCACTGTAAAGTGCGTGGCTTCATATTTTCTCGCTTGGTGATTGTTTAGGCGGTGACCTTAACGTCTCACACGTCTACCTGATTGGTGGTGGGGCGATAATGAGGTGAGTCTGCATTTATTCAGCTGATCATCAAATGCCCGCATATGCTTTCTTATTGCGAGGTTATTTAGAAAGAAAGGGCAGCTCATGTCCCCTGCTTATTTAAAAATCCATAGCTTACTCCTCCGAAATTAGAACCCTGCACTCGCCTTTTTCGTCCGTTCAGCAAGAGATTGAAACGGGTCTTCACGTGCATTTCCTTTCTTGGGCGTATCGACTCGGCGCATTCGCAGTCACTTCCAGTGCCTTCCGTGTTCCCGCCTAACGGACGCTGCAAATGCGCTTGTAAGCGAATCAATAAACTAAGAAATTCGTATCCCAGCTTGTATAGCCGTCAAAACGATA